ATTTTTCGACTGCGGCCCTCTCCTAACCCTGATTCCTCTGACATTCTTCCTAATGAGGTATCCTCTTTCAGGTATCTCGGCGTTACTTTGTCCTCAAATCTTTCTTTTCCCCTCCATATTGAGTCCATATTTATTAAAGTTCGTAAACTCCTTTACTACATTCGTCGTTTGCGTTCCTACTACACACCTCAACCCTTAGTCTGGCGATTCATTGATGCCTGCATTCTTCCTCTTATCCTATACTGTTCTCCTGTCGTTTTTCCTGCTCTGTTAAAAAAGGATCTTTTAATTTTGAAACGAATCCTTCGCATGCTCTCTACTGCTGCTGGCGTTTCTCATATTTTTTTAGTTGACACAATCTTACAACGACACTTCAATGCGGTCAAGCAATTTGCTGGTCGAATTCTAGATGACGTTGCCCATCCCCTACATTCCGATCTTATGGCTGCCAAGTCTTTCCGCCCGATGCGCCGCAACTTCCGTCTTATACCCTGTCGCACATCGGCTTATCGAGCCTCTGTATTGCCATTCCTAGCGCGCTATCTTACATGCGAAGATACAGAAATACAGAAGCTCAGACTTGAACTATCCCCATAATAATCGTTTCTTTGACTGTTGAATAATCTCTCAACTTATTTACTACCCACAGTGAATGGAGCCAATTTTTTTGCTGAAAATTTTGAACTTACGATTTCAAAATAAAGCGCATTTCCTCTCTCTCTCAAATGCAAACGCCAATTACAAAACTGCTTGCTGTCCGGGAGTTTCGACTACATTTGTTTCTGTTTTCGTGATGTCTGCCTCCTTCGTGGTCCTAACTCTCAAATTAATCGGAAGTTCCTTTTTCAAGACATTTCCGCCCGTGTGCGCCGACACCTTATGCTCAAAAACCATCTTTCTCCTACTCTGGAAAGGATTGCCACGAATACGATCACGGACAGACCACATAGAAGATGGGTTTGAGCTGCCTGACTTGTTTAAAAAAAGATGTGTCGTTTAGGTCAAAAATATTGGTAAATATGGCATATGCACGACGTCCTCGTAGTTTAAAAGTTTACCAATATTACTTATTTGGTTTTGATAACGCCACTGGCATTCTATGAAGCAGTTGCGATAATCGAATCATGACTTTTATTCTCTTGATATTTCGAAGTCACTACCGAGCCCATCATCAGATACGGTTAGTTCATACACGAGGCACTGCGGTGATTATAAGTAGCAGTCAACTTTCTACCGTATATCTACTACAGATAACAAATCTGCTGCTTTAGCGATAGTCACTTAATGAATAGCAGGTGCATTGATGCCACCTCTGGCGATGAGTTCAAAAATAAATTCTAAATGTAAAGCTAACGAAGGTCATGTCTCAGCCCGTTCTAACTTATTTAGAATTCATTGATGGGGATGAAGTTTTTTTTAAGTTGAAAATGCGCAAACATCGAAAATTACTTGTACTTCCTCGTGCCAACCTTGATCTGGTAACGCATATTTATCTATCAACGGTGTTTTGGCAGATTTCAAATAAATCACTTTGACTCAATGGTGAAAAAATGCGCTCTACGATGGGATCCACAGCCACGAAAGTAAGGGGAAGGCTTCAGCGCAGCCAGCGTTCTAACCACCTGAGCTACGAGGTCCCATCGGACGACGCGACTTCAATCACATTTGGATCACGTTTACCCGCACAACCTACTGAAACGTCTGGAATCCACCAAATCTGATACATTAAGCTGCCAGCGCAATCAGTATCTCCTAAGTAATACAAATGGAATCCGCCAGATGACTACCAGGCTCAGATGTTTAAAGTTTCGGCTGTGCTTAAGCCTCCCCATGCTGTCATGGTTTAAAATCCCACGGAGGCACCGAGTTTTTCACAGTTGGGTCAAGTGAATTATATTTCTCTGTTGATGATTTATTGGAAACTAGGACACTACTTGCATACCTCCTGTTTTTCCCAATTACAGATTCGTATTTAAATCATAGCATTTTGAATCATTGGTTTTTAATGCGTGCACAAATCTCTGCTTGACGTATTAAATAGCCACATAGTCATATTTCTCCAATGGGTTAAACCAATGGACTTGATATATTGCGCGTCAGATTTTGCAAAACTCTCTAGCTTCCCCGAAGAAATGATAAACACTGACAACATGTTATAATGGACTGTTCTTGGACTGTCACAATTGGGACCATGATTAATTTCATGACACTATATCGAAGAACTAAGATCAATGTGTGCATCCAATGCAAAACACAGTAGCGTTATCTCATTTAGCACTATGAACAGAAAAGTCAATCAGCATGCCTTTCTGACAGTATTACCAATAAAACTAGACGTTAAGGAAGCTGTGAAGATGAACAGATTTCAGCGAATTGACATTGCCTTCTGGGTAGGTCGTCGCGTCTTTTACAGCAGCAGAAACGATTTTCACTGTAATGTTCGTACGGGGCACAAGCTCTGTGGTACATTTGATGAAGTCCAACCCGCCCTTAAATATAGCCCAGTAAAGCTAGACCGGGCGTTTGAATTTGCGTCCAATTGATCCTTATATAGAAAAATATGCCCACGCTCTTTATTTAGCATCCCCTTCTAAGATAAATCTTGCAAATTTAAGACAGTCAAACGGAAGATTATTATGGGACTACCGACTTTTGAAACTGTCAGATAAATCGTCCTGAGAGCTGACGTTCAAATTTTAAGATGTATCATTGTCATTTGAGATGTCTGTTTGGGACGGAGACAAAGATTTGAGGTTTTCTATTCATCCATGCGCGGAAGCAGAAAACAATGAGTATGATTCGTAGAATATTTCCCATAGTGTTTGCTGATTTGGTACCGAAATTCCAACTGACTGCCATTTTCTTTGTTAACTCGGGCAACGGCCAGTGTGGTACGACTGGGCCGTAGAAATCATCATGTTTTGAAGGGGGGGAGGTTCAAGTATTGTGATAAAATTATCTTTATTGAAATTGGGCATGCATGTAACGGTGCCTATGACCATACAGACGGTTGCCTGAATAAACTGCAGTAAGACTGATATACATGATGCCTTTTGTCAGAACACGTCCATCAAACATTTATTGATTGATAAGCGAAGACCACCTGTTCAGGAATGTTGCATGTTTATGTATGTGTTTGTGGATATTGTGCTCAAAGTGTAATGTAAATGACGTTAGAATACACAGTTAGTGGAAGGTGTATCTCAAGACATGTTAAATACATTTCTGATTAGAAAGTAGTACCTAAATGGAGGTGGATTAGGGATTATCACAAGATATTTCGGTCTCGCTTGAATGCGCTATTTTCCTCCTTGTGTTAAAATAATGTTTTGTGTTAATATTATATTATGACGGTTTCACGTTTATTTTCGATTAACTTACGAATTCAAAAATAGTTCACAAAAAAAGGTACATGGCAAGAGGCTTTATTAAACTTCATACACGCAGGTTATGATTCCAGTGGACATGCAATATGTATGACGTATCATGATTTCAAGCCTTTACCCTCATAGATGTGTTTGCAAACACAAGGATTTTTTACTTAAGTTTAATCAATACTTCCGATAGTTATTTTAAATTATTTTTATACTCTTGAAATGATTACCCAAACTACAAAGTTATTTGCTTTCTGCACATAATGCGTAGCTTATTGGTATGAAAAACCACAAATATTCATTGGAATTTCCGATTCTATTTGGTCATGCGCAAACTGAGAAGGTTGGATGTACAGTGTTTGTCAGAATTCGCTGGTGAAGTAAACCAGTGTACATATCAGCTGCTCTTTGTACTGTAAAGCATTCCGTTGCACAGATATATGCTACTAGTACGTTGGTTGATACAGTGTATCAAATGTGGTTACTAAACCGCACACTATGTCACCTTTTACTTCATTAGAGGCAGCTTTTGTCTGCTCGCTGACATATTGTCAAAAAGTCAGTTCTGGTAATAATACTGAAAATCATGCATTTTGCCATGTGTTCATGAGAATGCCAGACGATGGCCTGCATACGGATGACTAGTTTCGGTAATCCTGAACGCGACGGATGAATTAAGCACCTCGCCTGAGGCGAAAAGTTACAAAAGCACCCCGGATTCACGTTTTGCTCAGACAAACGCGGTCCGCCAATCAGAGGCTGTGCCAAAATGATAACTATGCCTCCTGTGCGTTGGCCAATACCCTTGTCATATAAGGCCATGGTCACATCTCCCTAAGCAGTTCCCGCATTAGACTGACGAATGTTTTCTCTGGGAGCTTTTAAACTATTCCTGCTCATAATGTACTCGGGTCTACTTACGGCCTGCAATTACAAAGCTGATATCTGTAGGTTTCATTGTTTTAGGTACCACCTGAAAATAATCAATGCATTTCCGAATAGACTGTCAGATCTACTGATTTATTTAAAGTGGTGCGAAAACGTAAGACACAGTAAATGTAGACATTTCATTATTAAATCCTTAATCAGGGTCGCTTAAGCAAACATTTCATGTGGTATCGAGGACATCAGAAAGTCCATTTCATGTTTAAGCATGCTACGTGCGGCATAGCAGTTTCCTCCTCGGTGACATGTATTCAGTTAAGCCATTAATTAACCATTACTTATAAATGAATGTACCAATTATTTGTATGTAATTATCATATTTCACTTTCTGTTAAATGTCTGAGCGGCAGGCAAAGCCGCAAGGCTGAACGACGGAATTTATATCATTCGTTATAATTGCCTTTACACGGCCTTGCTACTAAGTATGAGAGCATATTTGTCGAATTTTCAGCAGTATCATCCTGTCCGCGTATCGGTGAGCACTTGCGCCTTGCCGACATCCTGTTGGATCGATTTCACGGAAATACTGTGTTTAGAGCCCAGAAAATGCACGGGGGAGATAGCACCACCAAATTAATCATTCGTGTTTTGTCGGAACCAATAATACATCACTGCTATATTCAGTCCCAGACGGTTGAGGCACACACCCTCAGATTAGAATGCAATGTAACATTTCCCCGGATGCGCATTCGTCTTCTGTACACAGTAAGCAAAGCGACTTGCTATTTTTGCCATCCTGCATTCGCAAATATCTATTTAGATCTAGCCCCTATAAACAAGGTAGAAAACCACAGTTTATATTTTAAGATTGAAACGGTGGTTCAATAAAACCACGCGAGTACTTATGTGGCTTTATAAAATCATACTTAGTCATTTTTACTTTTAGAATTTCAACTGGAAGTTACCTATCAATTTTCCCAAAATTTTTGAATTTGTTTGTTTGATGTGGTCACCAGTAATTTCATCTACTGTTCTGAAAACAAATTGACAGGAAATAAATGATTCCGCCGTTTACAAAGCCTAATACCTTTCAATTAAGAAATCCAGCATAATAATTTGTACTACGCTAATACAATTCTCGGTTCAAATTCTGTCATAATCATACCAGAGTCTCTAGATTTTGAATTAGGAACTTAGTGATAAGACACCTGCCTCCAAGGAGTATCCATCAAAATGTGTTCAAGTATCATCATTCCGTCTGTGTTTTATAATTGTATTATAGGTAAGAATGCATCCTATCGTAGCAATGTTCTTTCAACCTGCAAGTATTGACGAATTCGACTTTGACGTGGAAAATGTGGTCGCGATTGCAGACTTCCTACTTGCATCCAGCGCACTGGCAGAACGCGAGCTGTTGCATTTCAACGGATTCGTCTTTAATGGCATTGTTCTGAATGTCCACGGACCGCGTTGGAAGGGACTAACTTCATGGAGGCGTGATGCGCTTAACTCACTGGACCAGCTTGCGTCTAAGGCGTCTGCCATCGCATTGTTCTATTCTTGTTTCACATGATCTGTGTGCTGTTTAATAAGCAGAACAAACCTGACGTCGTACAAAATATATTCAGCCGCGTATATTGCGATTAATTTAGTATGTAACGTTATACAATAAATGTATTCATCTGGTAACACGCGCTTTATTGCTCAGCTGTGTTAGTAGGTGAAACGGAAATAAAATTGCCTTACATACCGACAAAAATCAAAACTTCGCACGTAGCGATACATTACAAACTTTGCATACTAAACTGCAGCGTGTATAAATTAATCAAAATTTACATTCATAGAAGGCGTTAGGTCTTTCGACGAAATAATTGAGTGTTTAAGCAGGCACCTGCAGAAGTTGGGCTAACTCATGAAACGTCAACCACAAATCCGACATGCGCTATCGTTTTGAAAAGTTTAATTAAGTCGTGCTGGAAAACTAATCATTGGACAGAGTATTTCCATGATAAATCTATAACTTAGGGCAGAATGATAGAAAAGAGCTAAATGACAAGTCAAATATAGCAGCCTTTTTAATTATTATATCAAATTGGCTTAGGCTAATTGTGTTTTTTTATATTGCACGGCACCTTAAATTTTGCTATTTAACGTGCTCTATTAACAAATGAACGTCTCCAAGTGTGTATACGAAATTTGCCCCATGATAACTGTCAGGGAAGATTAGCCGGTTTCATGAGAATGCAGGGATGGCATGAGAAAAGAAACACCTTCACCACAAAAAATAGCAAAGCGTCGATTTCCTTGTGAATACAGGGTCCCATTTAAGGTCTGGGTGAATACAAAGGGACGGAATATGGACCCCACCTGGAGTCTAGCACAAGACCCCTTTTAGTAAGCGAGGTGCTTGTCCCCATGTCTCAGCAAAGCGAGATAAGAAGAGTGAGTGTTATTAGTGAGGAACAGTTTGGCAATCTACGAGCCTACGAGCTTGCCGCGTTTCTGTCGGGAAACTTCCCAGGAAAATTTAACAGTCTCAAATGCTCGAGGTATTCCTTGGATACAGCTCCCACAGCCAATTTCTCGCGCATTGCGGACTCATTTAGGCTTTTGCTAATGCAGTTCACTAGCAGAAGAATTAGCTGAATTCTCATCAACAATCTTCCTGATGCATAGAAAAAGGATGCAATTATGGTTAGATTGAGCCCAATTTGAGTTTTTGCACCATATTGGCATTGCAACATCACGGTTAATCGTACTTCTTGCTGTCGCCATTTAAGACGGGACGTACTACCAAGAAGGTTCTACCAAAACTTTAAACTCACTCCATCCTCACGTGCTCCTAGATGTTTATTTTCTAATAAACCTCCTGTCAGAAACGCATGTTAACTAAATTGTTCGCACATAATCACATTTCGAAGACGGAACATTTTTGTGCAAGAAACACACACCGCTCTTAGATCTTCGATCTTTCCTCATACAACTGATAATGGTTCATGTAGTGAAGGCTTAAGAACTGACGCAATACGCCATACTTACATTAGGGAAGTCTAAATTTTCATAACACACAGCAGTCCTACTTTTATGGAGCAAAATATTAAAAAGTATAAACACACAATTGCTAAACAAGTCAAGCTGTAATGTGTCCACATGTAAAGGGCCAATGGCGCACGAACGGTCAAGATTGCAAACTGAGCATGTGAGCGGAAATTACAGGGCTGCATAAAAGCAATTTCTGCAGCGTATTGTCAGCACGTCTGCAAAAAATATACAAATGAAAATGAAAACGGAATAACGGAAAAATAGTGAAAACGAACTAAACATTTCCAGATCAAGTTCGACACCACACAAACTGTAGTTTTTACTGATTACGCAGAAATCACATTAAAGAACTCCGTCTATAGCGTTTTGTTCATCTCCTTTAGACTCACACTCACATAAAGAAGTTTGTACTGGCTGCAAAATAAACTTAATTTGCTTGACATTACGCGTTCATGCTAACATCCATCATTAGAGGCAGCATCGAACAGGGTTAATTAATGCATGATTCTCACGTCCCACAATGCAATGGGGGCGTAAACGTTCTGCGACCACAGACCCGAATATAGGCCATCTATCTATTAACGGACACATGGCGGTCATGTGCGAATTTATGGGATAGGTTATTGTCCATAGGTTTGCGGTGGCATATTCACTGTAGCATTCGACGGCTGCGATGGTAATTTATTTTAGGACTTATGCGCCTGTTTGCTAATCCACTATCCCTATTAGAAACATAGATGAGGATTTCTAACTTGTTGTAGGTGTACACTTCATTCGGTAGGTCTTTGGTATATATGCACTAAAATTGGTTTGATTAAAATGAGAAGCTAATTGTGATACTATAGAAACATCCTTGTACTTTCTTCTATGAAATAAAAGGTTAGATAACTTAAACGTTCTGCAGCTATTATGATTTGTTGACGGGACCCGTTGTCTTTTTAACTCTGGAATACTTCTGAGCAATATGGATGTTTGATTGAAATGAGGAGCCAGCTGCAGTTCTTGAGAATCATTCCTGTTTAAAGGCAATGAGCTAAAGATGCACATTTTTCCACGACATCCCAGTGCAAACCACTGTGCTTTTCTTTGACATCTGGTTCAGACAGACAGTAGACGCATGGACAGGCATAGATGTCGATCAATTTTCCTGTGAGATGAGCACGTTCGACAGCTCGATCCGCCTGACCTAACCTGAGCTGAGCTGTGAGCAGCAGCTGCGATGACAAACGAAAATGATCCTGCCACTGTCGCTACAGCGTTGTTTAACACGTACAAACGCTGGTAACAAGTGGGACGGGAACCTGGAATCTTTAGCCACCACCAAGAGCAGCCAGCACAAACTATATAAGCTGAGTAGGATTCTCGATGGCTGAGGAATGCATCACTTTATTAAAATGCTGTGTTTGTTGGTGAAATGCAAATATATATTGCTTTGAAAACCGACAAATATCTAAAGCTTTGCGCGAATTGACCCATACCGAACTTTGCATATTAAACTGCGGCGTGCGTAACTAAATCAAAATTTACGTTCCAAGAAGACATAATCTTTTGCAACGAAATATATGAGTGCCTAAGCAACACCTATATAAAAATAAGTGTACGATTGTATTTATCGTCGATAATTTTTTGTGCACATTGGAATACCACCTGCTTTATAACTCATTAATGCGATCAACCATCTGACTTGCTGTCGTTCTTAATGATGGTAAAATCCGGCCAGCTCGCTTTTAGCTCGTGGACCTGAATGCCACTAAGGCTAGATTTTAGGAAACAATAAGTATAATTCCCTAATCCTTGAATCCTGAATGAATAAGCATAGACGATTTTACAACTATGAGATAAAGAGTAAGGGCAAAATGATGGAAATGAGCTTAGTGACTAGACAAACATAGAGGTCTTCGTACTAGGAAATTACATTGGTTTAAGTCAAATTCATCATTGGCTCATTTATGCATTTGCGAATGAGATTTCAGTTCACTAGCAAAAGAACTAACTGAATCCTTGTGATCAATCTTCCTGATGCATGGAAAGAGGGCGCAATTATGTTTGAATTGGGCCTACATTGTAATTTTGACACTATATTGACATTGCGGCATCACGCCTTAATCGTACTTCTTGCGGTCACCATTTAAGACGGGACGTACTACCAATAAGGTACTACCAAACAGTTAAACTCACCTTAACCTTACGTGCCCCTTGATGTTTTTGCTTATGTAAACCTCCTGTCCGAAAGGCATGCAAACTTATTTGTCCAGCACAAAGCACCGAATTCAAGGACGGAATTTGTATGCATGTAATATACACTGCTCTGAATTCTTTGATTTATTCTCATAAAACTGAGGATGGTTCAGATTGTGACGGTTTGATTAGCGACACCACACGTCATGATTCAACCAGGGAAGTCTAAGTGTCCATGGCACATAATATCTCTAGTTTCATGGTACGAAATGTTGGAAAGTATTAGCACACGTCTGCTTAACACGTAAAGCAGAGATCTGTCTACACGCAAAAGGCCAATGACGCACGAAGGGAAAATGAATGTGAGCGAAAAATACAGGTCGGCGTCACGTCAGAAGGTCTGCAAAACGTATGCCAAAGATAACGATGACGGAATGACTTGAAAACAGTGAAAAAGGACTAGATGTTTCCAGATGAAGTCTGAAAGCAAACAAAGAATGTAGTTTTTAATGATGATGCAGCAACTACCTGAAAGAACGCCGTCTCTACCGCGACGTTCGTCGACTTGACACTCACAGTCAGCTGCGGTGACTTGTGCTGGCTGCAAAACAACCTTTACTTGCTTGACGTTTCGAATCCATACTAGTATCCATCATCAGAGGCAGCATCAGGTTAAAATGCTAGACCGCAGGGAGTGTGACATCGCTGCAACCCGAATGTTGCCACTAATATATTAGTGGTAGGTTATTTTTCCTTGGTTAGCGGTAGCACATCCACTGCTACTTGTAATCACCCCAGCGTCTTATGCATGAATTGGCCGTATCTAATGTTGCCACTGATGACAGGTTCAAGCGTGAATCCGAAATATTAAAATAATAAAGGTCATGTTTCAGCGGTCGAATCATCCCCCCTTAAAACGCCACCTGAGTTGCACATGAGTTGTTTCCAAAATTATTGCATCGAACGACGCATAATGATTGTACAAATCAGGTACTTCAAACCCATATCTCATTCTCTCCACCACGGAATCGTTAACACTCTGTGGACGACATCCAACTACTTCAGATTTCAGTACTCCAGAGTGTTGCCTATGTCACATTAAATACTGAAGACAAAATGGTCTGCACGCTTTGAATCCAAATCTGCTCTCGTGGTCTGTGCTGCGGGCTGACTGAGGCCTTACAGATGTCTGATTTGGAGTGTTTTTGTGAATTACCCCGTCTAACCAAGTGGGAGAACAAGCTGTGTGTGTAGTCGCTAGGTGTGTATGAATAGCGTCCGTCTGCGTAAGCACGTACCAGTCTTCTGATCGTGCCTGCGTACAAAGGCGTATGCAGACGGCGCAGACAGAAG